TTGGGTTGACGGTTGGACTCAGTGATCTTAGAGGTCTTTTCCAACCTCAATGATTCTATGATTCTATGATTCTATGATTCTAAAAAGAAGAGGCTGTGAAGAAGAAGAAAAGATGCTGAAGTGTGAATGTAATCTGGATACGAAGGTGTTTACAAAGAGGGAAAAGAAAGAAGTCCAGATTACAGAGATGAGTAGTCTGAAGGATGGTGATATTGAATGTATCTGTGCATGGAAGGAGAAGAAAAGGGCTGGGCTTTTTTAGTAATGTTCAACTGGGCCCATGTCTGGAGCTCCTTTTTCTCACTTACACAGCCTGGACACCCCTGCCATGTTGTCAGGGCCAGAGAACATTCATAGTTCAAAGATATGCTTAAATAAAAGCTTAATGGAAAGGCAAACTGTTTTCATTAAAGACAATGGGTGCCACTGAGCTTTTGATATATCCTAGTTGTGACTGAAAAAGCTGTGGAGGCAACTTCACATCCCATGAGACTCAAGTTTTTCTTACTCCAGACCTAGTATGTGGGAAGCAACACGTATTTTACTCTGAGGAAAGCTGTGGTATCCAGGTAGATACTACGATGAGTTACCTACCTGGAGTCTATGCCTTAAAAAACCTTTAACAGCAGTTGGCTTTGCAGCATTGTCTGAACTAAGTCCTTACAGAAGCATTGCAAAACCAGATCGGCCTTGCTTTTAGAGTGTTACATGTGCTTAACAGTTAAAAATGCATTAGTAAACACATTCTTCACATGTAAGAAATGCCCCCCTGGCATTCTTACTGGAAAAGAAGAAATCCTGGTGGTTGACTTACCTTGATTTTCAGAGAGTCGGTGTCATAAGGACTTGGTGTGAAGTCGGTGTGAACTTTGGCTCGACCGCAGAAGGGCCCGCTATAAGGGACTTCGTCATCAAACCGGAGGCTGTCCCTGTTGCTCGTTCCATCTGAGCAGCTGGTCACCCCACCTTAAAGACAGTCAAGTTGAGAGATCTCCTGCACCAAATGCCCAGACATGCAATGCTGCACAGCAGCCGAGAGGAAAGTGTTCAAAAGCACAGAATTAGAGAAAGAGTGTACTCTGTGTGGTTTTGACACATTCCAGGAAAAATACATTCAGTAAAAAGCATACTACAAGAGACAGAAGAAAATAGGTAGGAGACCGTTCATTAACATCTTCCCTACAACAATCTTTTTCTGGTGATGATACTAATAGACTACATATTTTACTTACAGATTTTTTGAAATATTACCTCTGCAGATTAATAAAATGTACTCTAAAAGTGCAATTTAGGGAATTAATTCTGCTGAACTTCTCCTGTTTATTCAGAGAAATGAAAACAAGTACTATAGAAGTTATTTTATTTCATTACAGAGCTAGCTGAAACATCAAAGGAACCTGCATTGCAGAGGGAAATTTTAATCTTATCAACATTTCTGCCTGTCATTTTATCCAAGTTGAGCAATAAAATATCGGCAAAGTAATTCAAGCAAATTTGAGCAAGCTCTGCAATATCCCATCCAAATATGTTTTTAGATAAGAGCAGCAGTGTGTTGGAAGTAAACCCCATATACAATTTTCACAAATCACATAATAGAAAATGATCATAAAAATGGTTTTGTTTGAGGAGATTGCTTAAGTGCACAGCTCCGTCTCGGGGCCAGATTAGCTACTAAGTGCAAATGGTCTGGACTGCAAGTCGAGTCCCCACTTAGGGCTCACGTGGTGCCTGCAGTGATGGCACAGCAACGTCATCATGGACAGCTGTGGCCCGTTGCCCAGCAAATGTCCACAGCAGAGCAACGGGTAGAGAGGTGGAGGCAAACTCCACTTCTCATCAGAGATTCATCTGCTCTCCGACTGAGACTACCCTGTTGGGGGAGGGTTTTCAGTGGGTTTGCGGAGAAGCAGACTGTGTCTCTCTGCATCATGACCTGAAGCCGTCAGATCAGGGCCCCATCACCCATCATCTCAGAGAGACCTCTCACTTTGTCTGCCTCACATCTGCAGGGCGAAGGATGGACTTACAGCCACTACCCCCAGAGAGGATGCTTGTGTGGCTGCACCCAGTGATTGCAACCCGATGGGTGCCAGCACCATAGCAGTGATAACCCCAAAAAACATTTATGGCATATATACCAGCAACATCCCCTATAATCCATGTTATTTTTTTACTTCAGTTAATATTTCCACTCTTAAAAACACTCAGCTTATTTCTGGAGAGAGGTATGTCTACCCTAGCTGCCACCCATTTAATCAAATTACACTTTTGTTTGCCAGACTGAAGAGCTCTCTGCTATCACGTTTTTGATCACCAGCTCTGATTGATACCTCAGACTTAAACAATAACAATATTGATCCAGTGACTGAATAAGAAGTACGGATATCTTGTACTTACTAGATGAGCTCTGGCCACTGTTCAGACTGTAGAGACTTTCCATAGAGTCACTGGCTTTTAGGGAGACCTTCTCAGTGTGTATTCCACCACCAGGATCACTGTCATCTTTTCCTTCTTCATTCTTTAACACAAAAATCAGAAGTTAGCCACCAAGAGATGTATTTTAGACAAACATTCGTTTTTTTCTTTTAAATCATCATTGGAGATTAACTCATCATTACACTTTATTAAGAACCACTCTATGAGAGAAAGCATTTTAGAAGTTGATGCCTGGTACTAAGGATGCCCAGCACCACCCCTAGCACCTTATGATCTTGGAGAAATCCCATCTCCTCTCTGCCCCACTCACTTCATTCCACTCCTGCTCAAGCAGCTAAACTGATTCTCCATCTCAGAAGACTGCAATATACCACAGCAGCAACAAAGGCTTGTAATGGGAAATTCACAGGTAGCCAGATAAGGTGTTTTTTCTGATTGTCTCAGAGGAGGAAGTATAAAGTTTAATTCTGAAAGCACATGGTGAAGCGCTAGCTGACGCAGCTGTGTTTTGCATGGAACTTCTGAAAATCATGGGCGCTTGGCGGCAGGCTGGCACCCAAGGCAGGGCATTCTGAAGACAGCTTGCACACACGTACGGCATTGGTGTGTTCTAGCACCATGCTCGCCACATTGCCCGACCTACACATTGGCCTCAAAATCCAGTGCATTTCGGAATTAAGAGATGCAGGTTTCTCTCATAAAATCTAAGGGTGTATGAAATTGGCCCCTTGAGTTTATAACATTAAATCACACCTCAGGAATTACAGCCTATTCAAAACAATAAGATCCATATTTAAATCACAGGTAAGTTAGGGGTGACATAACAACTAAATGAAATAGTGATGAGCTTTCAAAGGAAGGAATTTCTTCAGCAGATTTCATCACCTTGTCAATGTGCATGATATTCTGATGCAACTGAAACACCCTGCAGTACTTAGGATGCTACGTTATATTTGGGGAAATATTAATTATTCATCAGTTGGCTGATGAAGTCAAGCAAAGATGACAGTGCATGTATGAAGTAGAGACCTATACAGGTATGTATAAGGCATAGCATTGAAATGAAAGACTATATTGGTTTTCAACAAGGACAGTGCTTGTTACACCAGTCAGCAGCATAACCCATAGATTAATCAGTGGGCTGGTATTGATTGTCATCATCTCCTGCAGGAATGAAGATTATGCTACACGTGCGTCCAACCGGATAATTCATTGAGTTTCTGTCATGTGAATCGTTGCTATAAATGTGCAGAAGGTAAATGTTGAAATTCTGATTTTTCTTTCTTATAATATAAAAATCATGGATTGCAACCTCTCAAATTTTAGCAAAAAATGCAAACTAAACTAATAAAATAGGAATCCTTGTCTTTGACCTCCAAAAACTGTCTAAAGGTATCCTGTGAAACGCTATTTTCTACTTGTGAAGTTTCTTATTTATTTTCCCTACTTATTTGATATTGACACATGTGTGAGATACAATGCAGACTACCTAGATTTTTTAGGATGATTAAGTACGACAAGTCCTCTTTCCTTATGTTTTTTAACATTTGGAACTCACTGACACAACATATTGAGAAAACAGGGTTTGCAGTATGTGAAACATTATATATTTTTTATGTTTAATAAAGATAGGTTCATTAAGATTAGATAAGGTAAAAGCAGATAAGGCATATGAGTTGTCATGCTCTAGGATGCTGGCTGACCTCTACAAAATGAACTTTGGAAATAATTCTTGTACTGAAAGATAAGTTCTTCTAATGAAGCGTTTTGTACAGGTTGAGTATCAGAGTGCCAATGGGGTTCATCCAATACTCCCTTGTGTCCACATCAGGAGATTTTTTTGCAATGCTTATACAAAAGCTCCTTGGTGACAAAGCAAAATTCAATGATGTAAAACTCCTATGTCTATCTTGGGTCCTTAGTGTGTGATGCTTTAATTGTGTATGTGCATGTGTGTGTACATTAACATGCACATGAAAGAAAGGGTACATACTAAAAGCTGTTTTAATTCAGTATGTGTTACCATGTTTTTATGGATTGTCATAACTGATGGCAATTGAAACATGAACAGGAAAAATGGACATAACATTTTTACTTCACATGTATTATCATCAACCCTTAGTGTGTGTTGCTTTAATTGTGTATGTGCATGTGTGTGTACATTAACATGCACATGAAAGAAAGGGTACATACTAAAAGCTGTTTTAATTCAGTATGTGTTACCATGTTTTTATGGATTGTCATAACTGATGGCAATTGAAACATGAACAGGAAAAATGGACATAACATTTTTACTTCACATGTATTATCATCAAACATGAGATTCTTAAGCTGTATTTACCATCTCCTCGGAGAGTGCCTTGATGTACTTTTTACCCATCTTTTTCTTCATCGTAAGGGAAATGGCTCTCATCTTCTTACCCAAACGTCCTCCATTATTTGCTGCTTTAGTTTGTACTGCATCTCCAATGTCACTTATAGTCTCCAACTCAGATATCTGATTCGAAATAAAAAAGTAAGCAACAACTCACCATGAAAATGAAATTCAGTGTAGAGGAATAGGAATTACAGAAAAATATTAAGGACACCAATGCAGTTAGGATGACAAAAGTCAGTCATAGCCATTTTCCTGGGGGAATCGTGTACCTAAACAGGTTTGCAGCACACCACTATATGTGTGAATGACAGAAAGAAAATATATTTTATGCTAGAAAATGTTGTTTCCCATTGTTTATTGTCCTTAATCCAAACAAGAATTGAGGGGATTTATGCAGGTTCTTGAAAACAAAAATGATACATCTGTGGGTTACATACACGTGCCTGTTACCTTGGGCATGCACCAACCTGAAGTGCACTTTTGTCTTTTTGAAAAATTGTTTCTAATCTTCCCATCAAAGTACCAAAGTTTAGGTGTGATTCTCTTGTTCGTTTTGGCAAGGGCTCAATCACCCAGACAGATCCAGGTACACAAGCAAAGTTCTCACCAGTGTAAAATTTACACAATAGTTTCCCAATGTTTTTGCATAACTGTTGTGGGAAAGTGAACTGAAGAAAGTAAAACTCTGTGTTATACAGACCTCAGCTGAATCATCTGTCTTTGATACCAAGTGATGCCTGAAACGGTCAAAGCTTCCAAAGCTGCTTGTGCGCTGTAAAAAAAGAGAAGACAAACCTTGACTTACTGATGGTGTTTTGTTCTGTTATTAAGACTTAAATACAACTGTCAAGTCACCTGTTTGTGTTAAAAAGTCCTCCCAGATCAGTGGACCATGAACTACTACATCCAGCTAGAAACAAACTAGGAGGTGACTATAGGGAAAAAAAATTGTGACTGTACAGCCAGAAGCAGAAAAATGAATAAGCGAACAAATACTGCTTCAAATACTAACTAGTTCATGGATATGATTGAGTTCTTCTACATCTGTTTCACATTAATTATACACAGATATCTTTGAGTTACTTCTAGGTAAAATTGCTGTCTGTGAGCTTAGAAAAAAAGGTGTTTCCATAAATATTATACGAGCTATAGAGTCGGTTATGGTGGTGTCAACTGTGGCAATTTGTACAGTTTACTTTCGCAGCTGGGGAGACTGTTTATGGTTCTTTACCAACAGGAATCAGCAAGGACCGCTGAGGATTATGAATACATTTTTTCCAAAATGCATATTTGCAGAGGGAGTAAGTAACAGAATAATCAGGCGGGCCCCTTGTTTTTCTTCCCAATCCCCCAACTCAAAAATCTGATTTTTAAATGTGCACGGGTGCATTTTTTCCCTGTGCCACAGCACATAAGAAAGGCTGTATCACCTGAGCTGTGCATTAAGAGGCCGTGAATGGATTGGTTTTACTTCCTTCTAATTTTCACCCTTTCTGTGTGTGGATACTTGACATGGTAAGGAAGGAAGCGGTACAGCAGATTTTTGCAAGAGAGGTCACACAGAAATACCTGCCAGACATGCCCAGGCAAAATTGTCTGACTCTGCACTGCCCATGGTGGCAAACTGCATAAAATTGGCATTGATGACAAGTCAAAAGTCCCTTTAAGTGTGGCCCTAATAACAGCCAGAATTTGGACATTTATCAACTCTACAGTGTGTTTAAGAGCTTACGTTTATATCTTCACCAATACTCAAAGCTAAATCCAGAACGACTCCTTTTTTTAAAGTTCTTCACTCTTCCATACTGAATGAAAGTCTTTTAATGCAGTATCAGATTTCTTGAAGCAGGGTTTACTGTTATATACTATGCAGTATCATCTCAGTATATTTCTGAGTATTCAAAATCCCCTCTGGAGGGAAAAAACACGTAAGTGATTTCAGACTACCTGGTTACAGGTTTTCCTGTATTTATTCATCCATTTACCTTGCCCACGTGATTTCAGCCAAACCAGTTCCTTGCTCCATTGCTTTCCTCCCCTCAAGCCACATGAGCCATCTTTTCATCTTTCTAGATGGTTTCTAAAGGGCCCATTGTGCCCCCTTCCCCGGGAGGTCTCCAGCGACCTCCTTTCGCTCTCCATCCCCGAACACCCCAAGCCTCAAAAAGGCCTGTGAGCTCCTGGCTCTGCTCTACCATTACAGCTTTCCAATCTTCTCTACCAGGTAAGAGTTTTCACGAGGTAGCCTCAGAAGAAACTGAGGTAGACCATCCTTTGGGCAACAAAAGAGGAGGAGAAAAGGAGTGGTTTAATAACTGGTCTCACTGCCTGCCTTCATGTTGCAGACACGCTTAATGCTGGCATGAACCTGCTTCCAGAGAAGCTAAGGAGAAATCTCTCAGTGATGGTAAGAGGAGCAGAACTGCCCAAACACCAAGCGCTGCAGGGAACACCGCCCTTGCTGCGCCCATCCTCCAGTTCCCTACTCAGGCGGCAGGGTTAGTAACGCTGCGGGAGTGCCATCCTCTGGAAAGCTGGAAAAACAAAGACCTGTTTGAGCTGAGGCCTAAGTAACGATTTCAGCTGCTGGCAAGTTTCTGAGTGCTGGTATGGCCCCGTACCTGTTCTGCCCACAGCTATTAAGCTGCTGTTTGCTGCTCTGTCTCCTTAACGCTCTCCTCTCCTGGCAGCAGTTAGTCCTCTGCGGGACTCATCAGTAACAGCATCAGGCTCCTGATGCCGCACAGGGTGGTGAGGTGTCAGTCAGGCTTCGCAACCATGATCTTAAGGATGGAGTTCATCAAAATGATACCGGCTACACGGAGCACACACATACCTCCCCTGGGTGTTTCCATCCAGGTAGGACCCCATCTTATTCTGTCCCTGCTCATAAATCACAGGGTTACTATCCATATTAGCTCCTTTATCTCTTACACACAGTCACTTTTAAAGTAAAAATAGTTTGCGGAGGGAAAAAAAAAATGACAAAGAAAAGCTATGGGAAACCATGTGCAAATACTTTGTCTTAAAGTCTCCATTTGAGAAGAAGAAAATCAGCATCCCCTGGAACACAACTGAAAATAAAAGCTCCTTGCTGTTTAATTTCCCTGTTTTCCCACACTTATTTATTAACCAGCTACCCCCCTCCAAAAAAAAAAAAGAAAAATTAATGCGGACATAGTAGTGGGAGAGGCCTGAGCACAGCCAGATAGAAGAGGAAAGTGTACCCATATTTTGGGTCCATGTTCTAACCACTGCAGCTTAAGAGAAAAAGAAATAACTTTTTTTTCACTACGTTTCTGGGGCCATCTAACCTGAAAAATATTTCCAGCCAAAGGTTATTTGAAGAAGCTGACCCAGATTTGTGAATATTTTTTGACAAGTAAAATGACATTTACTATTCGCTGAGGGGAAAAAAAAAAAAAGAAAGAAAAAATCACACAGCTCTCCTCTTAATTGATTGTAATCTCTCTGAAAATCTCTGTTGGCTAAACACTGTGGTTTATTTGTTTGTTTTTACCCTGTGAAATTGAAAAGGACAATTTGGATTGTACACTTTAATTTTATTTAAAATTCCCATAAAGAACTTTGCTATTAGGTAGATGAACAATATCCTTTGACAAAGGGTTAGCTCAGTAGTATGATATAAAAACACAGCCCCAAGGATTATGGTTCTATTAGACAGGATTAACACCTTTCACTGGCTTGTCAACCCAACCAAATGTGCCCTGCAGTACGGAGCGGAAGGGATAGAAAGAGGGAGGCTGGGATTCACAGCAATATTGGGAAAGTATAAAATAGTCTCACACAGCGGTCTCTAAACATACACTGACCTTTCTGCTGCATTCAATCACTTCAAGATGTCTAGTAGGAATAACTGTATATTAAAGTGCAGATGTGCTGCAAATACTTTAAAAGGAACAAGAGGAAAAACATTGTTTATTGTTGGCCTTACCTATAAACAGCTTGAGCACAGGGAAATCAGTTATTCTTTTTCGACCCTTGAAACAACCTTATATCCTACATGTGCAGAAGCCTTGGGCTATTTTGTAGTGTACTTCAATGTTGCTTCATCCCTATTAAATATTAATAAGGGTTACAGGATGAGTTCCACTATTCTAGATAATGGTCTTGTTGCACTGGAGAGCACTAAATAGGGCTGCTTCAGCAATTCTTTAAACTAACTTTTTCCATTAAGTAATCAATAGCTACCACCTTTTAAAAATGTATTCAACCCCATTATACTGATAACGAAAAGCAGATTTAGGAGCTCTGGGCTGCAAAGGGAACAGGACTATTACTTTCGGTAGTGTTAGTCACTGCATTAGTGTCAGGGAACACCTATTTTGTGAAGATACAGACAGGCCTTATTTCCAGGTGAAGGGAAGCTTTTAAAGTAAATGCAAAGCTACTAGGAGAAAATATGCTATTGACTTTTGATACCAGGATTCAGCATCCTATAAAGTTAAGTGATTTTTCTGGCTGGATTCATGCAAGAGCTACCAATGGATACGTTAAGCAAATATGAATTTGCTCAGTAAAATCTAATGGAGGCATGGGCAGGGGAGAAACACGTTTATTTTCCCACACAAAGACCGATCAAATAATTTCTACATATCAATGCATTAACTTTCATCCCTTCCCCTTTGGTACACCAAATTAGCATAATAGAAAATATCAAGGTGTTTTTCAGTATTTTAAATCCTTCTTCCATCTTTTCCTATATCTTCAATTCCCTGAAATCCAGGAACTTTAAATAATCATTTTAAAGGGGTAAGTGCTATGTAATTGCTGTTTATTTTAATATGGACAGTCCGCAGTTGGTGATCGTGTTTGTCTGTAAATAGCCTATCATTTTCCCCAGAAAATGGTATGGTATACAAATAGAGAAACAACCCTTTGGTACACCAAATTAGCATAATAGAAAAAATAAAGGTGTTTTTCAGTATTTTAAATCCTTCTTCCATCTTTTCCTATATCTTCAATTCCCTGAAATCCAGGAACTTTAAATAATCATTTTAAAGGGGTAAGTGCTATGTAATTGCTGTTTATTTTAATATGGACAGTCCGCAGTTGGTGATCGTGTTTGTCTGTAAATAGCCTATCATTTTCCCCAGAAAATGGTATGGTATACAAATAGAGAAACAACAACAAGAAGAGGTTCTGCAATCCGCGTCTTTCTGTTATAAAACATCCTTCCCTTATAGGGCATATCATAGGAGAAGTCAGTTAGTTCTTATGACAAACTAGTCAGAGCTTCTCCGTGTCTAAAGACAACCTTTGAGACAAAACTGACAACAGTCATCCTACTGAATAATCATTATGGGTGATATTCATTTCATATTTTCCTTTGGACAATTCACACTGCTCAGAGTTCTGGTTCCCTGCTGTGAGAAATTCTGGCCCATTATGTTTTGCTTCAAGTCCTATTCAAAATAACTTTTAAGGCCAGCATGACGCAATGGCTTTGTACTGACTGTCTCGCACAAGTAAGTCTCTTCAAATTCCTCCATGCATTTTCATTTTTAGCTTCCATTCATCCTTAGGCTACCCAGACCACGTAAGCTGTATAGGGACAAACGCAGTCACTGGGAGTAACAAAAAGGGAGCTCAGCATGTTGCCCAATTTCCTCGCCTGCCACAGACACTTGTATTCTTCCCTCTCTCCTCGGAAGAAGCCACAGCAGCTCCCAAGAAGACAGTCTGTGGTTGCTGCTTTGATTGATGGAAATAAGTGGAGCTCAGGGTTGATTCATTTCTTCTATTCTCTGA